AAGTTTGTGTGTGTGTTTGCTTGTGTGTGTTTGTGTATGCTTGTGTGTGTGTATAAGTTTGTGTGTGTGTTTGCTTGTGTGTGTTTGTGTATGCTTGTGTGTGTGTATAAGTTTGTGTGTGTGTTTGCTTGTGTGTGTTTGTGTATGCTTGTGTGTGTGTATAAGTTTGTGTGTGTGTTTGCTTGTGTGTGTTTGTGTGTGCATGTGTGTGTGTATATGTGTTTGTGTGAATGTGTTTTTATGTGTGTGTGTGTTTGTGTGTGTGTGTGTATAAGTTTGCGTGTGTGTGAAAGAGGCCTTATTTAGGCGATGTTCTCACTGCATTTAAGGCAGCAACCATAAATAACAGTTAATTGCCTACAGGTAAATCCTCTATTAGGTAATCCTAATTGGGAACAGAATTTCCGCTGCTAAGCAAAGCCGTTATCGATTCACATCCGATCTTACGATACATTTTTTTTGCCATGGTTGCTAAGTGAATCACCGCGGCCCTTAAATGAATCACACGGTCGTTAAGTGAATCCACCTCCCCCCAATGGACTTTACTTGTCCATCTGGGATGGTCATAAGTGGCGATCACAAAACCCCCGGGACCATGCAGCCCCTGGGAATGCAGGCCAGTTGCCAAGGACCCAAATTCTGACCACGTGTTCATGTGGATGCTGAGATTGCATAAGTGCGAATGTGGGTCGAAAGCCCATGTTTCTTCTCCGTGCTAACTTCCAATGATTGCTGAAAGAATGGTTGCAAATTGAGCCTTTATTCTTTTCCGTCACATGTCTGAGTTGTCACATTACCAACCACCCATACTGGCTGGATTCACACAATGCAGACTAAGCCATGGTTTGCAATCCTGGTTAATGTGAGCCCAGCCCAGACATTGCCTTAGCAAACTCTTTGAACCCAGCGTGTTTATGCCACCTTCTCATTAAAAAAAAGTTTTACTTTTCAGTCCCTTCGCAGAAGAAATGGTATTTTCTTAAGATTTCCAAGCGACTCGAGTGATTTTTGTTAAGGCCAAAGTACCTGGATGCAGTCAAGGGTTTTAAAAATGCCAATCAATCAATCAAACGTTGAAAAACAGATAAAAACTATCCTATGACATCTGCCACACCCATCTATGGCAATCGAGATCCAAGCTGACATGCATTCATTTTCAAACATCTGCCACAGATGTTGGTCTTGATAGTCCCTTAATCCTGCCAAAATTTGGTCCATTCCAGAAGGCTAAAAGGAACATTTCACTGCCTTGGGAGAAAGCTATGTAAGTCCCTGGTATCCAAAAATCTAGATGGGTTAATTAGCAGACTAACAGATTTTTTTATTTTATTAAAAAGGCATTAGTGTTTCTGAGCTGCAGATTTAAATACACATTTTTTCTTTTCATAAAATGTGTTGATCTGAAAAGGCGCTAACAGATGTTCGCTACTCAATCTGGAGATTCAGTTGCGGCCAGCGCCAGCTGATCATGAATATTTCTGCCTAAAATCTCGCACTCCCATGCCTAACCCCCTTCCCCCGCCCCTTTCAGAGTTGTCCTCCGAAAAAATACGGTGCTTGGCAGAACTTTTGATTCTACCAAGATGGAACTAAAACTTGCATTATGGGGTTCAACCCAGGATGGGTTTTGCCCGTTGCATGTCAATGGATTGAGCAGTTATGATGGGCGTGTCAGGGTTCCAAATAGCATCCAAAATTAAATCGGAGTCCGAGGCAAAGGATTCCTCAAAGTTCCAATTTATGAAGAGAGCCATGTTGGCACATCTGGGAAAACCCGAATCTGAAAGCTTCCAAGTTTTCCCCACCCAGTTGAAAGTTCAAGATCTTGCCCCCCCATCCATAAGTCCATCCCATAGTCCAATCTTCCACTGCCACGATGACAGATTCCATCCATCCAGATGCAGAAACAAAGATGACCTTGAGTTTCTAAGAAGAATGTTGTTATGGCTACATATCACCCAACTCCATACAATCCCCCCTCCCATTTTCCCACAATAGAAATAGACAGTAGAAAAAGAAAAGATGGGCTTGGAGACATGACATTTATCTCGTAATTCAGGCTTATTTTTCTCTTTCTCCTTGTGTCTTCCAGTCCTCTTCCACATGTACGACGGGGACAGTGACGGGAAGATCACCTTGCAGGAATATAGGAATGTAAGGTATCCGTTTGGCCTTCCACTCTTGATCTTTCGGTGATCTTTTGCTGCTGCTGCTCCTCCTCCTTCAACCGGTTTTACTTGCTTCTCCTGGCCAGGTGGTCCAACAGATGCTCTCGGGAAACCCCCACCTGGATAAGGAATCGGCAAAATCAATAGCCGACGGAGCCATGATGGAGGCCGCCAGCGTCTGCGTGGGGCAAATGGTAGGTTGGGAAGTGGTCTTCAAGAAAAGGAGAAGGGGCTGCAGATTGGCCATCAAGCCAATCTTGCTGGAGAGTTCCCTTTCCCAAAGAGATGTTAGTCCGCTAATTCATCCATCCGATGTATTTATTTATTTTTCCCATTTATTTATCCAACTTGCCGACTTGACCTGGGGCAGCCAATACATAATTTGTTTATTTTATTTTATTTATTTTGTCAAGCAAGATAACAGGTATAGCAATAGCACTTAGACTTATATACCGCTTCATAGTGCTTTTACAGCCCTCTCTAAGCGATTTACAGAGTCAGTTTCTTGTTTCCCAACAATCTGGGTCCTCATTTTACCCACCTCGGAAGTATGGAAGGCTGAGCCAACCTTGAGCCGGTCAGGATCGAACTGCTGACAGTGGGCAGAATTAGCCTGCAATACTGCATTCTAACCACTGCACCACCAAGGAGGGAGGGAGGGAGGAAGGGAAGGAAGGGAGGGAGGGAAGACCAATAGCAACAGCACAGACTTATATACTGTTTCGCAGTCCTTTCCAGCCCTCTCTAAGCGGTTCACAGAGTCAGTCTCTTGACCCC